TATTCTATTCTATTCTATTCTATTCTATTCTATTCTATTCTATTCTATTCTATTCTATTCTATTCTATTTACCTGAATTTTCCAGAAACAAACAGAATAACTGAAGCAAAAATGAGAGAAGTGGTTCATCAGATATTTTGCTAACACACACAGATATTAATGAATAAATCCTGCATCAGTTCTGGTGACAAACAGAAGAGAAGAAACCGAGCTGAGTGATAACAGACTGGACCCATGAGCTGCAGAATTACAAACATCCGACAGAATAATCTGAATTATTCAGAGATTAAAGGGCCTGAAGCAGGATTTCCTCCTTCAGATGTTTAACTCAGACCAGATGGGTCCAACAGAGCCCGGCAGCCTGAGAGGAACACCTGATAGATGTGGATCAGAACCAGCGGAGAAGCTTTAATCTGTCCAACAGGAAGCTCGTTAACGTTCCCCTGAAGGGTGGAGCCAAAGCAGGGAGCGACTCCCACAGGAAGTGGAGCTCTCCTCAGAGGAAACATAAGCAGCAGACGGAGCGTTTGAGTCCCAGACGTTCTTGACAGGACATCACGTCCACAGCTCTTCTGTCTCTGATGGTTCTGACCCGGTTCTGACGATCAAACCAGTTCTCCAGCTCTGACTGCTGGTGGCAAAACTTTAAACGATGGAGATAGAAAACCAGTGCTGTTCACTCAAACATCTCTCAAAGTTTAAAACCCGTTCCATTTTCTCGAAACTACAGAAACAAATATTAAACTCTGTTGGTTCTGACCTGCAGAGGTCCAGTGGAGTCCTCCAGGACTGGCGGCAAGCCGCCGCCGCTTCCTGATGCTGACGCTGCTGTGGGAGGCGGAGTCTCCGGCCGGAGGTTGCGGGTCGGGCGGTGAGGCCGAGGCGGGGGTGGGGGCAGGGGTGGAGGAGAGGATGGGCAGCAGAGGAGTGGACAGAAACGTCACCTCCTTCTCCAGGGACGGACTGAGGAAGGTGGACTCTGAAGACCTGCAGGGACAAGAAGTGTTACCTTCAGGGACAAAGAGTCCTCCTGGAAGATCCTAAGGTCTTCAAAGAAGAAGACTCTGACCTGACCCCCTACTGAAGACCCCTGTTCATGAAGACCACTCAAAGGATCACTCAGACCTCCATAAGACTGATGTTCTCCATCAATCTGACCTCCAGACTGATGTTCTCCATCGGTCTGATGTTCTCCATCACTCTGACCTCCAGACTGATGTTCTCCATCAGACTGATGTTCTCCATCAGACTGATGTTCTCCATCAGGCTGATATTCTCCATCACTCTGACCTCCAGACTGATGTTCTCCATCTAACCGATGTTCTCCATCACTCTGACCTCCAGACTGATGCTCTCCTTCTAACCGATGTTCTCCATCACTCTGACCTCCATCAGGCTGATGTTCTCAATCAGGCTGATGTTCTCCATCAATCTGACTTCCATCAGACTGATGTTCTCCATCAGGCTGATGTTCTCCATCAATCTGACCTCCATCAGTCTGATGTTCTCCATCAGGCTGATGTTCTCCATCAATCTGACTTCCATCAGACTGATGTTCTCCATCAGGCTGATGCTCTCCATCAATCTGAATTCCATCAGACTGATGTTCTCCATCTAACTGATGTTCTCCATCAATCTGACTTCCATCAGACTGATGTTCTCCATCAGTCAGTCTGATGTTCTCCATCAGTCAGTCTGATGTTCTCCATCAGTCATTCTGATGTTCTCCATCACTCTGACCTCCATCAGGCTGATGCTCTCCATCAGTCAGTCTGATGTTCTCCATCAGTCAGTCTGATGTTCTCCATCACTCTGACCTCCATCAGGCTGATGCTCTCCATCAGTCAGTCTGATGTTCTCCATCAGTCAGTCCTCCATCAGGCTGATGCTCTCCATCAGTCAGTCTGATGTTCTCCATCAGTCAGTC